CAAGCATATATCCTGCCAGCTGTGCCTCCCCTCGTTGAAATATATATCAATTTTAATTAGGAAGATCGGCCCTCGAGCCTTTTTGGAGGTTTGTCGATACCTATCTGGCCGGCCGGCAATTATTCAGGACCCGGCGGGAGGGGCCTTTGAAATTACGATACCCCATTTGGGCTTCACTGTCTTGTAATTAAATTACAAATGCATTCCTATTCCTCCAATTTGCATAGGGAAGTCGGTACGCCTCCTTCTTTATAATTCCATACTTCGGAATTGCAAAAAGGCCAAATGTGTACTGTTCGTCTGAGTGAGCGATGATCCCGACCAAAATTAAGTTGTGCTCGTATTCCCAAGCTTATTTGTAAACTTTATAACCTTGCTCTATTAATCAATCAGTTTTTCTCATACAACAATAATTTTTATGTATAGTGATTAGTGACCATTAGTCGAAATTATTCGGAAATCGTGAGATGCGGTCTGGTGTGATGTAGGTTTCAGAAAAACATTTTCTTTATCGTGCCAACGTTTCGATCTTTATTGAGATCATCTTCAGGGCCTGGGATTTATACAAACATTGTTTAAATTTAACAAATACACGGAGGATGTGGAAAAAAGTGAAATTATACAATGCAAAAAATATTTTTTATATTCAATCAAAGTATTTCTACTTCTCTACTTTTTCCAATGTTCGTAAATCCCAGGCTCTGAAGATGATCTCAATAAAGATCGAAACGTTGACAGATAAAGAAAATGTTTTCTGAAACCTACATCACACCAGACCGCATCTCACGATTTCCGAATAATAATTTTTATTTCATTAAATTTTAATGATTCTTTCCAACCTTGAAAAAATCAGCTAGTTTTGCCGTAGAAATCCATTTTTGGGTAATCCAATTTAAAAGACCAACACAGTACTAGGTAATGACTTAATTTCTGGCATGAGGTAATGAAAAAACAGGTTAACATGGTTTACTGAAAGACCCGACAGACATAATTTAAAAAAAAATTAATGGGACTGTCCATTCAAAAGTAATTACTAGGCCCAGAAAAGAGAATTGCGTGGATTTGGAAAGGTTATGGGCCAAGGGGTAAAAACTGCAATGAAGAAAAAACCCAGAGATAACAACAAGAATTTTAGATTGAAATCGTGAAGGATTAACTAATAAATTGTTCAATTAATTAAGGTTTTTAGTTGAGCTAAAAAAGTCAATGGCACGAGCGGGATTCGAACCCACGACCTTCGGCTAGATACGCCGCTGCTCTACCACTTGAGCTATCGTGACCTCGATCCACTCGGACACTAACTTCCTATCTCAACCCCACCTTTTGAATTTTCCCTCCTTTTTGCCATTTTTCGGTTCGAATTTGGTTTGGGTTCGAATCCCGCTCGTGCCATTGACTTTTTTATATCAACTAAAAACCTTAATATTGTAATACAATTAATTAAGGTTTTTAGTTGAGATAAAAAAGTCAATGGCACGAGTGGGATTCGAACCCATGATCTTCGGCTTGATAAGCCGCTGCTCTACCACTAGAGCTATCGTGATCTCAACCCCACCTTTGAATTTTCCCACCTTTTTGCCATTTTTCAAATGTCGTGTAATCTATTTGATTCTCGGCGAAAAATGAAATGGCCACGGAGAGCTTTAGTGAAGTATACTTCATTTTAACTTATTAAATTCACTAGTTTTCGGGGTCTGCTTGACCAATTAATATCTTACAATTAATTAAGATTTTTCGTCGAGATAAAAAGTATACCTTTACTAAAACTCTCCGTGGCCATGGCTTGCAACCATTCAGGAAAGGTGATGATCAATGAGGAAAGGGTGGAATGGAGAGGAATGATTTTTCATTTTGGAGAAAAAAATTCGACTACGGGTCGAAAGAAGGTGGAAGCAGTTTGAATTATGACATTGTGGTAAAACAGTTATCGAACACGTTGGAATTAGCTAAATTGACGTATCAAGCAATTGTTGCCTTCCGAGGCTGGACGGCCTTAATGTAAATCTACCGAATGACAGGGTATCACTTAAAACAACATTAGTGCCATACTCGTAATGCCTCTATAATTGGCGGTGTTGCTTCGGTTATCCTTAATAGAGTTTTAATTTATTTCGGCATAGATCGGCCCCGGTTGGAAAAGGGGAAGGTTTATGTACAAATATGGACTCGGGATAAAAAGCAGTATGAAGTATGAAGCCTGATTGTTACAACCACCTGGTTTTGTTCGTATGAGCTTTACGTAAGAAACCTCAAGGGGGATGCAAAACAAATCTTTAAGGTTTATTTAAAACGTCAAAGAAATGAAGATCAAGGCACAAAGGTTTTTGTAGAACGACCATACATAATTTTCTCTGCTTAATTTTGTCGCCTGTAAAAAAAAAAAAAAAATACATATTGGTACAATAGTATGCAAGCTGTTAAAACATAATGGATTTGAATTGTTTCGCTCTGTGGTCTTTAGGAACATTTTTTTATTTTGGATGTTTCCGATCATTTTTTTTGTACTAATGGTTTTGGCCTGTCAGACAGCTAATAGAAAACAGAAATCACATGGACCCCATGACCGAATATGGCGAGAAATGGAAACCAAAACAGTGAGGATTGGCTGATCAAAAATTGGAGCTTTTCTATGAATAAAAGATCACATTGAAAACCGTTACAAGCCAATAGGATTTTAATAAAAGCGCCTTAGGATTAAACTCCCGTCAACCGGTGTAATATCTACCAGAGGGGAAAAACACCCACCCCTAAATAATACATTTTTAATAGGCCTATCCCTCTATTTAAGGAGGGAGAAAAAAATATTTTTCCAGGCCGGTTGGCAGTGTTGCCCGTATCATCTCCGTTGCCCTTGTTAGCAGTGACATGTATAATAGACTTCGGGGATTATTTCGTCCAGGGCGTGAGTAGAGAAAGGACGTCAATCAAGGAGTCAGGAGCCGTGAAGAGCCGGGGGGACCAGGTAGCGACATGTGTAAGGGGGCCCCACTTCAAGTCGTTTCGACCACGGGATCTTGAATTTATTCGAGCAAAGTGAAACCCCGATTTCTTGACTTGACAGCAGCTGGGCGAGGAAAATGGGGAGAATGAGGCTAAATTGACTCGTCGAACGAACGTCAAAAGCTTTGACGATGTACATTTTCATGTCTAATATCTTCGAGCAAATAATAATTCATAAATTATTTTCAGCTGTGTTCTTTTCATTTTGTTTAAATTGACCAATTATTAGGAAAAACTTACGCCACTTTGTCCTATTAAAAGATTCTACACTAGAAATTACCTATGAAAAAACACCAGGAGTTGTTATAATTTTTTATTTTTAAAATTAATATTTAATTACAGCAGAGCACGATGGTTTTTCTATGAATTGCTTAATAATACAACAATTTTTTAACCTTAACTTAACTAAAACCCTTGCCTTGTAAAATCAAAATCAATCAAAATTTTTATTGGACACTAATATTAAAGAATATATTCCATTTGTTTCAAATTTAACACTTATCCAATGTTGACACTACATACCTTTTTATTGGTTACAAATATAACCTTAAACCATTGTTTGCAACCATATACCATTTTATTTATTTCAACCTTAACACTGAGCCATCGTTGAGAACAATAACCATTTTATTTGTTTCAAATATACCCCTAAACCATTGTTGACAACCACGTACCATTTTATTCATTTCAACCTTAACAATGAACCATGGTTGAGAACATTACACCATTTTATTTGTTTCAAATATACCCCTAAACCATTGCTGAACCATGCACCATTTTATTCATTTCAACCTTAACACTGAACCATCGTTGAGAACAATAACCATTTTATTTGTTTCAAATATACCCCTAAACCATTGCTGACAACCATGTACCATTTTATTGGTTTAAAATCTAACCCTAAACCTTTGTTGACAACCATATACCACTTTATTTATTTCAACCCTAATACTGAACCATCGTTGAGAACATTATATAATTTTGTTTGCTTCAACCAGAACAACAACCTTAAACCTTTTTATTAGAAATTAGGTTACGCCTATTAACTTCGCCATTTAAAAATCTTTCTTGAAATTTGCAATTTTTTTAATTATGTCAACCTGATGATGTTGGTATCTGTAGATTTTTCTTGGCTATTCAAGGTTTACTGCCACTTTTCAGCTCTATTTATCTATAAGGTTTCCATGTTTTGCATGTCCGAATTGACTGAAGTAACTGCTGTGATAAACCATTTCCGTCAAGTCATTAGTTCGTTCAGGTTGTTCAATCTCGTCAATTTAATTCAAAATTTCGAGATGGCCGCATCAGGAAATGTAGAAGAGATAGTTTACATAACTGCAAAATAAAGACATTTTTCTATGCCTTTTTTAAACTTACTTTAATTTGTAAGTTAAATTGTTCCTTACATTAAGACAAGAATACTGCAATTGCATGTATATTTGATTCAAAGCCGTTTTCTATTTACTCTGAGTCTTAATAATTGATGAGATATTATTTTACTTTAGGATATCCAGAAACTGCTTTTTAATTGTCGTTAAATCATGTTGAATAATTTCTTTGTCATGTCTTATTTCCAATACGGATCAACCGACTTTTTCTGCTGCGTGCACGGCTGCCATTTGTCGTGAAATCAATCTTCTCATGAATATTAAATGAATTTTAAAAAATCCTTGATTAGGGCATCCTAGTTTATTCCCTGGGGGCCTTATTACAAATCAGGAGTAAATCAAGATACTGCTGATTTAAATTTACCTCGACTAACCCTATCCGTTCAGTTAATCGGTCAAGAAAATCCAACCCTTTTAAAGCGATTCATCATATTTAACCTTATGTCGCCGGACCCAATGATGAAAAAAAACATTTTGACATTATTATAAATAAATTAATTTTGGATCTTTTTAACCGGCTAGAATTATTCAGTGGCCACGTGTCAAATCTGACATATCAAAAATCTACTTTTTTACAGAAAACTTATTAATTTAATTATTTTCCGTTTTTAGGCCCGGATATTCCTGGGTTCCTCCTCCAGCCGTTCAGGAAGCCCAAGAGGATCCGGACGGCGTTCTCGCCCTCCCAGCTGCTGAAGTTGGAGCACGCCTTCGAAAAAAACCACTACGTCGTGGGAGCCGAAAGGAAGCAACTAGCCCAATCCTTAAGCCTAACGGAAACCCAGGTGAGCTTAAAAAATTAAATAAAACTAAAGCTATAAATAATTTATGGACTGGGTACAGAGCATAACTTGATGCCGGTTAATTTACATAGGCTTCTAAGCGGACTGTTTCTAGTGCTAGTATGATTGTACTAAAATCGTCTACAATAATAAAACAAGAGACTTGATGGACCCAAAATTCCTACCCTTCATCCCCGAAACCGTCATACATTCACCCAACTATCATCCAACTATCAGTCGATCCCCTACTTTTCTCACTCACTCATTCACAAGACTGAGACGCCGCTGTCTTCAATAAGGTGAAAATTTAAGATTTAATTTGACAACGAACAGTTTGGATTAAATTTGTATTATCGTCTTTTCCTTTCATATTTTACAAAATTTCTTAATGGTGTTATGTTTCCTTGCTACCCAGATACATTATTTTATATTCCATTGAATTTGGTGAAATAAGATGTTCAAAGTTGATCATTGATATGTTACTTTTTATGTTTGACGTTTCAATCATTGGATTTCACTTTACCAAACGAGAAGAAAGGAACACCTAACGATCTTTCGTTTTCTGTTACATTCCACCTCATTTGGTGAAATAGGACGTTCAGATTAAAAAAAAAAAGGATCATTGATCTGTTATTTTTAATCTACAGGTCTCTTCCTTTCATTGGGTTTCGATTTACCAAACTAGAAAAAAACGAATGCATAAAGATCTTTCGTTTTCTCTTATATTCCACTTCATTTGGTGAAACAGGACGTTCTAATTTTCTAAGAAAGGATCATTGATCTGTTATTTTTATCTACAGGTCTCTTCCTTTCATTGGGTTTCAATTTACCAAACGAGAAAAAAAAGAATGCATAAAGATCTTCCGTTTTCTCTTATATTCCACTTCATTTGGAGAAACAGGACGTTCTAATTTTCTAAGAAAGGATCATTGATCTGTTATTTTTTATCTACAGGTCTTATCCTTCCATTGGATTTGAATTTACCAAACGAGAAAAAAAGGAACACCTAAAGATCTTTCGTTTTCTCTTATATTCCACCTAAATTGGTGAAACAGGCCACTCAAACTTTCAAAGAAAGGATCATTAGTATGTTATTTTTATCAATTGGTCTCATCTTTCTATTGGATTTCAATTTACCAAACGAGAAAAAAAATGCATAAAGATCTTTCGTTTTCTCTTATATTCCACCTCAATTTGTGAAGCAGGTTTTTTTTTTTTTTTCAAAGAATTGATCTGCTATTTTTTATCTACAAGTCTCATCCTTCCGTTGGATTTGAACCAATTTACCAAACGAGAAAAAAAGAATATCAAAAGACCTTTCATTAATGTCTCATGCGGGCTGCTTCTCTGATTGTTACCATAAGTTTTTTTTTCTTTAAAACGTTAGAAGTTCATAGTTTAATTTAGAGAAGTAACTATCGAAAGCAGTTACCATTTGACCTATAATGATGAGCTTTGTGGTTTTGTGGTGATTGACTATTGAACAAGTAGCCTCCTTTGTATAACGTCGATTCCTAGATGGATACGGCTCAATAACGATCACCCAAATGCCTTCTGTCATACACCTCATATGGTGAAACGGGCATTAGGACTTTATCTCCCCTCCATTGTTCATCCTGTCCGTATTAAAAGGAACAAATCGTTTCCCGACAATTCAAAAAGAGACCATTCCCGGCAATACATCTCTCCGGCTCGGAGGGCATCACTCTATATCAACTCTAATGACAAACCGAGTCGGCCATATGTAAACGTTTTGCTCCTCATTCATTACCCCTCATCACTGGCGTATTGTGCGTGAACGGCGCATCTGGAACTTCCAGGGGGTCGACTGAGCCAATCCGGCCGCGGCACCCCATGCGCTTCAGGGCGTAAGCACATGTCGCCCATTCTACGGGGGGTGAACGGGCGATGAACCTTCATTAAAAATGTATGAGATTTTCACCATTCTCCCCTTCGTGGTATTTATACAACCTCATGGCCGCTCGCTCCGTAATTGATCTTTTGTTATTTTTAACGTCTTTCCTGCTACATAGACCGTGAACGGTTTTGTCGAGGACTATGCCTATTGAAATCATAGTAACACGAAAAAAAAATTGTATCGGCAAAATTGCAACATTTATCTATTATACATGCACCTCTATTTGTACACAATTGATTACTATTTCAGTTGATCCTACACTTAATCCGCCGAGCAATATTTTCGTTCAAAATAAGATAACACAAGCAAAAAAATCGTAAAATATCTTTAATTAATATTTGGGTTATGTAACCAATACAAACTGAAAAATATTAATTAAATTTAGCAAAATCTATCTTAATAAAAGATTTTATTTTCTAATTAAACACAATAAGACTGCGAAAAAAATACCCCACAAACACATCTTAACATAAAAATAATACATCCAAGTCATCACGTAAGTTAGATCGTTTAAATCCTAACCACTCGACCAGTGTGACCCAACCTTATCGCATTTCTGAGTCTACCTTGTGCATAACGATTGTTAAAATTTACATTATAATTAACACAAAGCAAAATGGCGTCAAAAATAACATGTTTGGAATAGGTATTTTAATATATGATATTGTTAGCGGGAGGATTAGTATAATTAGAGACATGGCCGATAAGGACATGGTTAGCCTAACCCCACTCCTCATCATAATTATATGCAATGATGAACGTGTTTAATTGTGTGATATACACGGCAGTAATATTAAAAAAATGTTTCTTTCCTACTCACCCTCTCTTTTTTCTCTCTCTCTCCCTCCCTTACTCTCCCTCACTCTCTCTCTCTCTCCCTCTCCCTCTCCCTCTCCCACACCCGCTCACTCTCTCNCTCTCTCTCTCTCTCTCTCACTCACTCTCTCTCTCTCTCTCTCTCTCTCTCTCTCTCTCTTTCTCTCTGCAATTTCGGTTATTTTTTAAATATGTTTCTCTGCCTTTGTTGTGCATCTCTCTCTCTCTCTCTCTCTCTCTCTGTATTTTTTTCTCTATATATCGATCTCAGACTGCGTTTATCTCTGTCTTTGTATTACTCTCTCACTTTCTATATCTTTATCTTTGTGGGACTTTTTCTTTTTCTCCATCACTCTCTTTCTCTATCTTTCTAGCTCTTTTTATGTATCTAATATGTTACTCTATATTTAACCTTTTCTTTGTCTCCATCCGTATGTAAATCTTTCTTTTACTCAATTATTTCTCTTTCTTTTTAGTTCTATTTTTTTGTCTCAATCTCTTCTTCTGTTTATATATATCTCTATATGTAATTCTATATTTATCTCTGTTTATATATCGATAATACTTTTCTCTCTCCCTCTCTCTTTCTCTCTCACTCACTCACTCTCCCTCTATCTATGTATCTAAATGTTTATATCCTTATTTATTTCTCTCTATCTTTTTTCTCTCTTTCCCCTTTTTCTATTTTTATACGTTTTTTTGTCCTTCTTTTTTTTCTCTCTCTGTCTCTCTCTTTCTCTTTCTCTTTCTCTATCTGATATCGGTCTCTCCTTCTCAGCCTATCTATCTATTATCTATTTTCTCTACGTATCAATCTATGTAAATATTTATTTTTCTTTCCTTCCTATGCCTTCTCTCCCCCCTCTCACTCTCTCTTTCTCTCTCTCTCCTTCCATCTTCACTATTTCTTGGTATATATTTCTTTTGTTTCACTATTTGTTTATCTCGATCAATTTAATTGTTGACCTCTTTATCTCCCACTCTCTCCTCTGCCAAATATTCACAAGTCTTGCAATAATTCATTCATCAATATTATTTTGTTAACGTTAACACAAAAGGGCTTTAAGAATTAGGACGTATTATTATAAAAAAATGCAGACATAAGGAGGAACCATTGCTTTCATAAAACTAAATTTTAAGTCTCAACTCATGAATATATAATTTTATGTTTTATGCCAACCATTTGTGGGTTGCCTCGTTTATTGTGAAAATCTTTTTAAAATTTTAGCATAAGTAATTCATGTTATAATTGTTTGAAATGTTTATTTGCATAATAACTATAAATATGTTTGTAGACCATGCAATTTAAAACCAACATATCAAAACTATTTATTTACTATTTATTGTTGTAAAATAAATCGTTTAGAAATTAGACCTGGTTTTTTCCGTTAAACCACATTCACGTGAAGACTGGGAATTAAACAGGGAAAAAGTCCGTCGAGGCTTTCGAACCACCACCTTGGGAATTCTTTTATTGCGAGTCAATTTGGAATCCTTTGCCCCACTTGCAAAAAGGCCATCCACGAGGTTTTTCCCTAATTAAGATGAGCCTGTAAGTGACGAATCTATCTGGGCAAACAAGAGCGGAAGACCTTTTATAATCGATTCCTTCGCCTCTCATGTATTGCATTCTCTTTTTGCACTTTTCAAACTGTAAATCACAAGCGCAAATCTGCTATCGGGCGATGTTTCCATTAAAAAAGAAACAGTCCACAGGAGAATAATACAATTCTTAAGATTTAAAGGAACTACGATAAGGTTTTAATTCATCGAATTAAATTTAATGTCTAAAAAAATCCAAAAGTTTTCCACGTTGATCCTGGCTTGTCCATTTTCCGAGCTTGTTTTTCCCAACTGAAAATTTAATCGCTGTAGTCCAGCATGGTTAGGATTACATATAGAGAGTACAGTCGGATCCAGGGAGGTGACGGACAGGGGTCAAAAAGAGTTCATTCACCGACAGATCAAATCTGCTACGTTCCTTCTGCCCTTTAACTAGTAGGGACGTTCTTTATATTTTTGGGAAAAAAAATAGAATTTGAAGCATAGTTTTTTTTGTTTTTTTTTTAAGTTAGTTATTCATACACAATTATTTAAATGGGAAAGGATCACGCTGATGTTTTTATTCTGTCCTTTCTTGCAAAGTTCATCATTGGCATGGATTTTATTGGGTTGTCCGGAAAATAATGCAGGTTTTTCACGTATTCTTTCAATTACCCCTCTACATAATAAACTGTTTACTTATAGTGGATTAATGTTTTGTATAAAT